GGAAAAAAATAACATCAGATTATGAAAATCAAAGATCTGTTAAGTAGTGGATAACTTAGTCAAAGCACTCTATTAGGTAAGAGTTTTAGTTTCTTATATCAGCCAAGTACTAGAGAAATACACAGAACAAAAATGTGCACCACCCACTATAAATGACCTTTTTCATTTCTTATAGACACATAACTGAACTTTGTGCTCAGGTGACGTTTGCCCCATAGAAGCTCTTGTTTTGTTTTTCAAAATGATTAAATGTAAGATACATAAAGAAATTTTAATTGTGGAACTCTGGATTTTTCACAAAGCAAATCCACGCATTTAACAACCACCTACATTAAGGCAAAGAAACTCCATTGATGCTGTCTCTCAAAATCTTTGCCAAAATTCTACACATATGCTACATAGCATTATTGTTTCAGCTGTGGAGTTTTATTTGCAGATATATCGTGATCTTTCAGCTGGAAAACTAATAATTTGTTAAGTACTTACTAATTGTAAATAATTTTCTAAACCCTAAGTGAATCATTTTAACAGATAGTGCTGTGTAGTTCGTACATGTTATAACATTAGTTTGCTCTACAGACATTTCCAGGGAGAAAACTATTTTAAAATTCCTGAGTATACAGAGATAAGACAGGTTTGGTTTTTTGGGTTTGTTTGTTTTTGTTTTTTGCTGTACTGGAGAGTGAGCCTGGGGAGCACAGAGCTACGTCCTGTACCCTTTTTATTTTTTATTTTGAAACAGGATTTCACTAAGTTACCCAGGCTGGCCTCAAATTTGTGATCCTCTACAGCCTTCTGATGAACTGGTATTATAGGTATGTGCACCCTGTCTGGCTGATAAGTTAGGTCTTTAGGGAGCTCAGTCCTAGGTGGATATAGAGAAGAGGAAGGTAAAAAACATGCCATTAAAATAACATAGCTTTTCAGGTTAGAGCTAGTCTGTTTTATTTCCTCATAGGAGTAATTTAGGAGATAGAAAAAATGATATTAACTGTAGAGTCACTTCCTTATCTGTAGAAAGCTGACAAATGATTGAATGGATACTCAGTGCCTTGGGTTGACTCTTATTTTCCTTATGTATTTTTTTAAATTAGAAATTGAAATTTGGCTGCTAATCTGTTTACTATTTTATACAAATTGTTTTAATTGGAGTGGGCTGGTGAGTAGAAATTTTGTATGTCCTTTATGTTTGAAAAGATTAAAGTTTTTACATTTTGTTTTGGTCTATTTAATGACCTGTTTTGCTTCCCCTTTTCCACAGACATTAATTGCAGACCTTCTATTTAACAGAAAGTACTATAGAACTTTTTAGTTTTTTTCCCCTGATGTTGTGGGAATAATGGCTGCTACTGTACACGTGATACATTTTCTGGCAGAGGTAAAAATGAGGTATTATACAACAGTGTACGAGGGACATCTGCTCAGCATTGAGACTTAGAGCACGTGTTCCCATGGCAGTTGATGCCAATGGAAGACTGGAGGGGAGAACTCCCCTTTAGCCGTATCTACAAATCCCACATGCTTATAAGGTTTGGTTCACGTTTAGAAAACACAGTTGTTTCCCATTTTCCAATGTCTGCCTTACTCTATTTCAGTTTGTATTAATGAGGCAGATTATTTTTTGTCTTCAAAATAAAGGAATTTATAAGAGTAATTTCTTCACTTGAAAAGTCCTAAATAAAATATGTATTGGTAGAAAGGATGCTCCCATAGTGAAGTTTTGCTTGTACTTGCTTATATTGTATCTATTTAAGAAAAAAAAAAAAAGCTGGATGTGGTAGCACACACCTGTGATCCCAGTACTCAGGAGGCTGAGGCAGGTGGAGCGCTGCAAATTCGAGGTCAGCCTGGGCTATATAGTGAGTTCAGGGCCAGCCTGAACTACAAAGGGAGACCCTGCCTTAAAATATAAATAAGAATATAAGGTTTATATGTACATACATACATTTGTACCTACACAGATAGAAGTTATATACACAGACATTCTCCCATGGAATCGTATACCAGGAGCTCATAACCCAAGTATTTCACACTCCATTGCTATTTTGTTCTCTCTAGATCTTTATGCTTTTCAATTCTAGACTTCCACCCTCAAAAAAAATAAATAACCTGCTTCTTTGTACATCTGTATCATCTCGACACTCCACCGTACCAGATTCCTCATTGTAAACCAGTAGCACATTCTCTTCTTAACAGTGGAAGTCTTGCTCTAGATTTAGTCCTCCTTTTCACTTCCACTGCGGCCTCAGTTACTTCTATGTGTTTGACCTTGAATTTTATTGATCTCATCTCTATTCGTTGCCTCATCTGTACTTTCTCAGTCTCTTAACCTACATTCTATGCCTTGTTGCCCAGAACTGATTTACTTCTAAAGTTATCACTTTAGTTTGGGCCACTAAACATATAGTTACCTGTATTTTCATGTTTATCATCTGCTCCCAACTCATTTTAACAAAATTTCCAATTCATATAATTTGTCACTTCCTTCCTGAATTTATTTCCTTCCCTATATATCATGTTACAAGTCTTAAACTTTTCTCTTGCCTTGCCAGTGTCCTTTAATTCCTTTCCCAACTTTTCTAATCAAACCAGGTTGAGTAAACCTCGTCTCGTTTTTCTAAGCACTGCTGTCAAAAATCACATAAGCTACTGCAAGTGCTTCAAGTCTCGTTGTTACCAGCCTTCCATGGGCCCACAAATTGTGGGGTAATTCTGTTTTTTCTAGCCCTCTCCTTTTCTAAAGAGGTTATTTTAGGCATTCATCATTCTCCTCACATCTCCTCCAACTTTCTCTTTCCTTCTCACCCTCAGCAGATGACGTCGTATTTTAATTCACTGAGAAAGTGGAAATCCTCAAATAAGAACTTCCACAATTTCCTGCCACCGAACCTACAAATATAGGTTCACATCTGCCCTCATTTTGGTTAGTTTGCTTTTTCTTGCTGTTTGCAGTGGGAAGACTCGCTCAAGGAGTGGAAAAATCATATGCCTTTAGGAACCAAGTGGAAAATTATAAAAAAGGGAAGCATTTGGATAAGGAGAAGGCCATAACCCGTGGCAAATTGATAAGAGCTACCTTAAAAATTCAAGTTTCTAATACTGCATCAGCTGGGGAAACATCTATGATAAGTCTAGTTCCACTCCTAGACTAGTCTGTATATCTGGATTCTGGATCCCATCCCCTGAAGCCTTCTTAGGGGCTTAACCCTCTAGAGTATTCCTCATTTCTCCAAAATTAATCCCTCTTTGGCAGTTACCTCTTTCCCATCAGTATTTGAACATTTTCAAGGTTGAACCATCTTTTACTAATCCATTAGCCCTGCTTGCTTCTTCCTTTTCTTTCTCCACCTTTATTATTAAACTGTAGAATGAGTAGGTTGCTGTTTCGGTGTGACAGACTTAGACTGGAGTCCCTGTTTCTTGCTGTCTGAGACTTGCCTCTTGAAGCCTGTTTTCTCATCTATGAGGTTAATCTTTATGCTTAGTCATAAACTGTTGAGATTATACATATAAAATAGCACAAAACAAGGACATACTGAGTGTTCAGATATATTTGCCTTAGTTTCTGGTTCTCCGCCTTCTGTCTCTAACCGCGAATACTTAAGAGCCTTTTGTTGTTTGTTTTCTCAGTGGTGCTCATACTAATCCCTGCTTCATCTCCTCAGAGCTCTTTCCCACTGTTACGCACACCTCTCCTTTGCCCTGTGCTTCTGTTAATGCTCCTTTGGGTTCATTGGCCTCTTTATCTTTTGCCATCCTTTAAGTGTTTATATGCTTCATCATTCTATTCTACATTCTTTCATGTCTTTGTGCACTTATTAAACTATCCATTTGACTATGATTTCTCTGGAAGCCAAAGCAAAGAAAGAGCATTATAACTATTAGTTTATAGCTAATCATCATTATTGTGTTAGGCCTTTTTATAGTCACATTGTATGTATTACTTGATATAATCTTTGCAAGAACTGAGGAAACACTGAAGTACAGAGAAGTAACTAAGCTGTCCAATGTCATATGTGAGTATTTTAGTTCTAGACAATTCCAGGGCTTACCTCCTAGCCATAAGACTATGCTCTCTTCCAAAACAGTTATGTGATAAGTAGTATTTAGAAACGTAAAACATTATTCAAGGTAACTAAAGTTTCTTTAGGATTTATGTCTGAAATGATGTATATGATGATCCTTTGGGAAGTAGTAGAACATACTCAGCTGTAATCCTATAATAAATACCAGAATAACATTCCATCCTCATAGAGAACTTCAGTGGGACAGAACATAATACCAAACCAAAGCAAAACACACTCTGTGCAATGGATGCACCTTGAGATTATATTCTTTAAGTGAAATAAATGGGACACACGTGTTTAAATACTTAAATAGTGTTTCTCTGGTGTGAGAAAGTGAAAGTGGAGATAAGGACTAAAATGTATAATAGATATTGCAAAATGGAAAGAAAATGTTCAAATGGGAAAGGGAATGAGGGAGAAAGGAAAGAAGGGACAAGAAAAAGTGAAAATAGAAGGGAAAAGTAGAAACAAGGCTTTTGTACATAGGGAGGGGAGGGAGCATATGGGGAGGGCAGGATAAAGTAAAATATTTTTAAAAGTAGAAACAAAACTTTTGCACATATGGGAGGGAGGGTATGGGAAAAGGGAGGTGGGATATATCATGTACAGGTGCATTCCCTACAGTGAGTGTTATCATTATGTATGCCTAAAATTTACCAATAATGATTTGCAGTTAAAAATAGTAATAGTAATCTAGTAATTGAAACATACTTATCGTATTTGTTCTTTAGAAAACTATTTAGGTTTTAAACAAATGAGCTTACAAACCACTTTGTGAAGATTATCTATCTTTGATTAGAGAAAAATTATTAAATACTGTAGAAAAAATGATTTTTAAAAATGTAATTACAAGGACATTCACAGCTTAAGAGGAAATATACAGAATTTGGTCAACTATATTTTGAAATGTCTTCTTATTCCTTTGATTTGTAGACATATGAGGAAGATAGAAGAAACTACTCTGAACTTCAAATTAGATGTCAACGTTTGGCCTTAGAATTAGCAGACACAAAACAATTGATTCAGCAAGGTGACTACCGTCAAGAGAACTATGATAAAGTCAAGAGGTAAACAGACAGTCAAGGTGGCTATAGTATTTCTCATTTTTATCAAAATCACCCAGCCTCTCCTTTAAGCCAAAGAAATGAACATTCCGGGGAGTCGGAAGTGAAGTCTGTGACATGAAACACTTTGCCTCCAGTGTACTGTGTCATGAATAAACTCTTACTTTTACTTTAGAAACAAACAAAAAAAAAAAGGGCCAGGGATTTAGCTCGTGGTTCTGCCACCTGCGTTACAAGCCAAGGACCTGAGTTCGATCCCCGGTACCAAAAAACAAAAAACAAAAAAACAAACAAAAAAAAATATCACCTAAATTCTTACCTTCAGCATCATTAATTCTACCTTTATTTTTCCTTGCACAAAAGCATGTATGTTTGATAATTTGTTGGGTATAAGTTGTATTTTTATATTAGTTCTTTTGATTTTATTTAAAAGTTGCTGTTCTCTTATAAAATGTGAAATAGGAACCCAGTAAAATATATGTGTAAATATTTTCTAAATGTTATTGATGATTATTTTTATGGATAGAGTCAATTTAAATACTTAAGTTCCTCCATTTTATAGCATTTTTCTTCTAACAAAAGACACTTTTAAAAAAAAATACTTCATGAGACTTTCCCAATTGTTACTCCTAAGTAACTTTAGCAGATATATTCCTTTAAGTAGAATATACTTTAGTGTTGTTTGTACAGTAATTTAATAAACTACTTTTTAGCTATATGTTCATGAGTAAATCTCTTCATTCTAACTTTTCCCATTTATGAGATGGTACTAATATAAATAACTGCATTCATACCGGGGATTTAGCTCAGAGGCACTGCACCTGCCTCATAAGTGCAAGGTCCTGAGTTTGCTGTCCAGTACCCAAAATATAAAATAAGTAAGTAAATAAATAAATAACTTCATTATATAAACTAAAATCAAATATAGAAACCTTTATGAGAGTTCATATATAGTTATAAATTACATATACATTTGTATATATGGTGAATGACTTCATCCCTAAGTTTTCATTGCTGAACCTACTGTACCCAAAAGTAATTCTTTTTTTCCCCCCAAAAGTAATTCTTAAAAAATAGTATCACACAATGAATATATGTTAAAGGGATGCTTTAAATTATATAATTTAAGTTATAAATTATATAATAAATGTAAAAAACCAAAACTAATAAAAAAAGCATTTTCAAATAGTTTATGTTGGTAAGATGATCCTTCTGAGCTGATATTTTTGTGTCCCCTCTTCCACTAAAAGTCTTTAGCAGTGATAGAGAAAATATAAAAAATGTCACCAGGATAATCCAGAGGGGCTATGAATGTTGGATAAGTGAAACAAGATTAGGCATCTGTTGATGATTATTGAGGCTGGGTGATAGAAATATGGATGCTCATTACATCATCTCTATTTTTATATGTATTTTCATTTTCTGTAATAAAAACCTAGGAAAGGAAAATAGAACCTTGATGGAAAAGCATGATAGACATTTTCATGTGGTACGAATGCTACACAAAAACAAATGAGGCACTCATACTAGGAACCTTTGGTTTACTGCATACAGTGAATGAGTTAAAAAAAAAATGAACAGGTTATAAAAATATAAGGTAAACAAGGGGTGGGAAGTATATGCCCTTGATAAATTCTCACAAGTATGCAAAAAGAAACAACTCTGAATGTTAAGTGCATCATTATTATAAAGAATTCATATGCTTTTGAATAGCAGAATTAAAAAGTAAATTGTGATTTATTTTTATAGTATAATTCTAAAATTTAGCAGTTAAAATCATTAAATTACATCTGAATGCTTCTTTTTTTTTTTTTTGGTACGGGGATCAAATTCAGGAACTCAGGACCTTACACTTGCAAGGCAGGCGGCAGTACCACTGAGCTAAATCCCCAGCCCTGAATGCTTTTCCTGCTTTCTTTTCTCTTTTCTTTTGTTTTCTTTCTTTTTTTCTTAGTAATTCCTTGCCTTCTGGCATAACGTAAAGTTTTTAGTTTTACTTTACAATTTAATTGCCTCGGCACTTAAAGGAGTTCTGAAGAGTTCTGGCTTATTTCAGTGAGAAATACTATTTAGAAGTTCAGCTGGTATGAAAATGGAAATCAAAACTATGTGGGTATAGGTATCTACTGTGCAAAGTAGTAAGTGCTAAGTTGCAAGGGGGTTTTGACTCTGAACTGAGCTACGTGTAAATTCTTTTAAAAGAATTTAGTAAAAAGTATCGGTTACTTTTTTTCCCATTTGGTGCTACTAGAAGGATTCTGCATTATACTGGGCTGCATCCCCAGCCTTTTTTTTATTTTTTATTTTGAAAGCAGGTCTTGCCAAGTTGCTAAGTTGCCCATACTGGGCTCAAACTTGATCCTGCGGCCTCAGCCTCCCAAAATGATAGGATTACAGTATCTATCTACCACCACACCTGGCTATATTTATTTTTTGAAGGTAATAAATTGATACTTAATTATCTGAACAAGTCTTGAACAGAGTTCCTTCACAATTTGAAAAGTCGATACTTTACTGTATATAAAATGAAACAAAATCTTCTCTGCCTAATATCACTACTCAGTTTCCTGATACATGGTCAACCCTTTTAAAATGCTCAATTTAAAAGAAGATGTAAATTTTACACATGTATTTGAATGTTACTTTAATAGTGAACGTGATGCATTTGAACAAGAAGTACTTGAGCTTAGGAGAAAACATGAAATACTTGAAGCCGCTCATATAACTCAAGCTAAAGAAAGAAGTGAATTATCAAAAGAGGTAAGCTTATAATAGTCACTTATATTTTATTGTATAATATAAATGGAAAATAGCACAGGGTAAAATAATGGGAGGGAAATTTTGCTTTTTTGATGTAGTTGCCAGGAAAGAAAAGAGACTTTGAGTAGTTCTTTTTTGGTAGATGATTGCAAGGGAGGGTTTAGTCTGCCCTCCTAAGGGCAGTTTTTATGTGGCAAGCAGGAATGTAATGAAAGGAGTTAACAGGCGGCCATGAAGCGGAAGGTGGCGCTCCTCTGACAGTGCCTCTCTTCACCCACAGGTAGTTACCTTACAGCAGACTGTTACTCTGCTGCAGAAGGATAAAGAGTACCTCAATCGCCAGAACACTGAGCTCAGTGTGCGTCGTGCCCACGAGGAGGATCGCCTTGAAAGGCTTCAGCTTCAACTGGAGGAAACCAAGAAGGCCAGGGAAGATATGTATGAAAAATATGTAGCATCCAGGCAAGACTTACTGTGTTTTCTACATTAACATATAGAAATTAGCAATATTTTTTGAGAGGACTGTTGGCTTGGGGGAAGATGGCTTTTTAAGATGTACATAGGATGATATTATGATAATACTTCATTCTATTTCCTTATATTTTCTAGTCTATTTAAGACAGTTTGCTTTTCCTAATAACATCAAAAGCCTATTTTTTTAGGCACAATCTTTTTAGTTCCCTATAACTAATATTATAAATGATTTTGGAAAAGGCATGTAAGTATCTCTGTAGATACATTATTTTGAATAAAATTGAGTATGCTGATGATTTCCTGACTCTGAAACATAAAAGAAGAATGAGGCATTATAGCATATTGTTTTCAGTTTTTGTGTTTTCTCTCCTTCTAGATGAGTATAGGCTACTAGAGTTTCTTTATGTTAATAGGCCCTAGGACCCCTAAGTTACTTGTTTTCATCGGCCCCTCAAAAGCTAAAACAAGGGAAGCTGAGACAGGAGGATCATGAGTTTGAGCCAGCTAGGACTACATAGTGAGACCCTGTGCCGAAAACAACAACTACAACAAAAAAAAGCTAAAACAAAATTGCAATTTTTTTCTTTTAACAGTTTATATGTTCATAACTGTTTGGGTGGCCAGGGATTCAGCTCAGTGACACTGCACCAGCCTTGAAAGTGCAATCCCTGGTACCAGGAGGAAAAACAAAACAAAACAAAAAATGTTCATAACTTTTTCTCTGGCATTAGTATTTTTTCATCAGTGTGTGATATACTTGCTAATATAGCTGCTGTTGTGCTTGAAAAGAAGCGTTATTATAAAGTCAAAGTGATTTTGTTTTTATGCTTTTGTTCATATTATTTATGTCTCTACATGTACTGCACCAGATTATTATTTGTTTGTTTGTTGTTTGTTTTGTAGCAGGGATCAAACCCAGGACCTTGCACTTGCAAGGCAGGCGCTGGAACCACTGAGCTAATAATAATAAAAATAATCTGTGGCCCCCAGATTATTATTTTTAATTGAAAGGCATTCTGTATTTATCAGTTTTCAACTCAGCCATTTGCTTTAAAAAATATGAGTAAGATATTTTTGAAGATGAGTAACCAGCATGACCTACTAACATCTTATGTAATAGTTAAGCCTTTGGAGTACTATGTTTGACAGGATGCAGTCTTAGGTGGACCTAGTTTGAAGCAGTAATTTTTAGAAGTTCTAAACCTTTAGTATCTGTGCTGCCAAAGCAAGCACTAAAACTTTACATCTAAAATTAACTTCTCCAAATAGAATATGTAGAACATATTTGATATGAAATATTAAAATCTTACATGGAGTACAAAAGCCTATTTGTTTCACAAAAGAAATTTGTGGATATTCCTTTTGATTCTTTGCAGAGACCATTATAAGACAGAATATGAAAATAAACTACGTGATGAACTGGAACAAATCAAATTGAAAACTAATCAAGAAATTGATCAGCTTCGAAGTGCCTCCAGGGAAATGTATGAAAGAGAAAACAGGTAAAAAAAAAAAAGAGAGAGAGAGAGAGATTGTGGGTTATTTTATTTCTCTTTGCTTGGAAGTTATAGGAGTTTTGTGAAAATAAATACCATTTCTCTGAGATAATGCTCTAAGTATAAATAAAATGTGAATGTTACAATTCTAATCTTTGATAAATAACTTCGAATAGTGTTTATCAGACTTTAGATCTTTTTACTTCAGTATTGCCATGATCTCTGATAATGTCATTTTGCCTTTAGAGTGAGGACAAGTATAAAAAAGAAATTAGCATATATACTAGGAGACAGAGTAGCTTTTCTTGTAACACACTAACAATTTCTCCTGAAAACTTAAAAATCTGGAATAGTAATATGAAATATTATGTACGTCTCATTTAGTTGCTAATTCTGAAATATGTTATATTAGATAATTTTGAAGAATTATCTTATTCGTGGAATTTTTCTCAGACAAAGATTTATGCAGTTCACCTAGGTAGAGATGGGCTGCCTTTAAGGGAAAACATTGCTGGTTGTTTCATGGCAGTTATTGCCCTTTACTAACCTTATAGTAATATGGCTTTTGAAAGTTTGTGTTTGAGTGAGACAGTTATCCTGAAATTGACTTGTCGTACTACTTTACTAACATTGATTTGAGTATATGAAATTGACAGCAAGACATTAAGTTGACTTACATACTGTTATCTTATTTAGCATTGTAATGTATCATTCCTATTAGGATGGTAGCAGAAAATTTGTTCTTTTCATATTGTATTCATAATGCAGCCTGTATTGTAAAAACTACATTTGTAGAATCATCGTTTGATTGGTAAGTTGTTCAAGATATTTTTAAAATTACTATTAAATTGTTACTTTAATACAGCAAGTTGGGAGAGATTTTTAAGATAATTCTGCTCTTTTTGAGTAGTATGATTTGCTCTTGGGTTTCTTTTGTGAAAATATTGTTTATGTTGATAAGAGAGCAGATGTACAATTTATAACAATTTTTGTGATATTTGCTTCATTTGACCTGGTTTTTAGAGCCAGGGATTTAGCTCAGTGGTTCTACTGCCTGCCTTTGCAAGCGCAAGGTCCCGAGTTCAATCTCCGGTACCAAAAAACAAAACAAAAAGCAAGAGACATGATTTTTATAAGTGAAATTTCCTCATAAATCTGGCATGCGTAGATTTTTATCTGTTTGATCTTTTCATGAAGATCTACATATAAGTACGTGCCCAAGGAAATCAATATAAATTTTAAACTGAACAGAAAGGAAATCATTCATATTAACATTCAGCAGATATTTACTCTCTTCTTCCTCTTTTATTTTTCTCTTATTTGGTCTATGAGATAATTACAGTCATAATTTAGGAATGCAAAAATTCAAAGTGATCATTGTAGACTATATACTGTAGGCAGTGGCAAATACATATTTTAGAGGGAAAATTGACATATTACACTAATTGTTTTTTTAAAGTTTTCCACTTTGGGCCAGGGATTTAGCTCAGTGGTTCCACCACCTGCCTTGCAAGCACAAGTCCTGACCAAGTTCAATCCATGGTACTAAAAAAAAAAAAGTTTTCCACCTTAAGAAAAATAAAAACTTTTGGCTGTTCTTACACTTAGTCTGTGTTAGTATTTGTATTACATGGAGAGCACCATAATCTTTTCTGCGATCAAGGCCTTTGAAATCCTGCTTTATGTGTTGAATCCTAAAAAGATATTTTTCAAATAGTGCAAAGAAATGTTGTACCACTATGTAATTAACATCATTTTGAGTTTAACCACTGTGTCATGAGCTAGACCTGGTAGCGCACTGACCTGGTAGTCTGTGATGCTATCACTCAGGAGCTGAGGCAGAAACACTGCCACGACTTAAGCGCCAGCCGCAGCTACATAGTGAATTGAGGGCAAGCCTGACTACACCAAAAAAAATTACTGTGTCATGAATAGTTTCTTATTTGACCTTGTATATGTTTGTATACAAACGTGTATGTAAAACTAACATGTTCAGAAAAAAATTTCTTCATATACATTTAATAATTTTAGGACCAGGGATGTAGCTCAGTGGCACAGTGTCTGCCTGGCAAGTGCAAGGTCCTGAGCTCGTCCCTAGTACCAACCAGAAAAAAAAAAAAAAAGTTTAATTAAATGCTATTTAACCACCATTGAAATTGAAAGTAGAAAATACACACTGCAGAAATGCCCTTGAGATCCTTCTTGCTTAACTGCTTCTTTCCCTAAGAATAATTACTATTCTGACATTTATGTTCATAACTTTGCTTTTCTTTAAACTTTTATCATCTAAGAGTCTCTGCATGATATAGCTATTTCATATTACATTATCATCATTTCATATTACATTATATACATAGAAGCATATATGTGGCATATTTTCCTCATCTTATAATTTTAGAATTCCTTTGCTGTTGCACTTAGCTGTCTATTCATTTTCATAACAAGTATGTTTTTATGGATGTACCTGTTTAAGGCAGCAGGAGATCGAAGAGAGATAGATACAGAGATTAAAGAATTCCAAAGACATTCTTCATCCTTTGCAAAATTGGCCCAGTCCCAGCCCTGTATTAGGAAAGAAGCATCCTATACAGTACCTTGTGGTCTCTTGCTCTAAGGGTTCAAAATGCAGACCAAAATAAGAGATGTTCTCCTTTTACATGCTGAGGTTTATGTGAGACCTATATATGCCAGTTACAAGCTGAATGCCATAGATAAGTGGTAAATTTTGCCTTCACAAAGCTGATAGTCTAATAGGAGACAAAAATAAGTAGAGGAACAGTTACAAGTATGGTTTGATGGTAACAGAGAAAATGATTAGCTACAAAGGATGAAGTCACCTGTTTGTCCAATCCAGCCCTGGAGAACTTGGGGAAGACTTCACGAGGGAAGAAATGTCCACGCTGACCCCTACACAAGGACCAAGAGTAAAGTCAGAGTTAGGGAAGGGAAGGGACTTGGGGAATGACTGTGTAACACCTATCAAAATTTGGAGGCAAGACAAGTGGAACTGTTTGAACAAACTGAAAATAATTTGTTACACCCAAAACATAGATGGAGAGGCAGGGAATTACGAGAGATGAAACAGAACGGGAACAGAAGACCAACAAGGACATCTGTACCACTGTGTAAAACCTGTGGGGAATATATAAAAGAGTTTATGGAAAGGGCTGTTTCTATATTAAAAGTTTTGTCACAGCAGTATGAAAGATAGATTGGAAAGGCAGAGGCTATAAACAAAGAAGCCACTTTCACAGGTTGTGTCCATTGAGACATGATGATGGAACTGCATGTTTAGTAACAGAGACAGAAGGAAATGGGCCAGGTTTAAAAAGTGTTTGGGAGACAGATTCAGCAAGAGGCAAGGATGGAGTGGGATGGAGGAGGGCCAAGAAGTTAGGGATGCCAGGTTTGGTTGGACAGCCAAGCGGATGGTGACTATGTTGTATTAGTGTTGTTGTTGTTGTTGTTGTTGTTGTTGTTGTTGTTGTTGTTGTTGTTATTGCAGAGGTACTGGGAAATGAACACCGGGTCTTTGCACTGAGCTGCATCCCCATTCCCCTATTTTTATAATTAAAAAGGGTCTCAGCTACTAAGTTGCCCATTCTGGGCTCAGACCTCTGGCATAGGTAACACTGTTTCTCTTTTACAGACTAGTACTGTTCTGTAGTTCAATTCTGCTATGGACTTTATAGACCTTTATTAACTGATCTAACTAAAATTTATGGGATTATTTGGTAAAATGTATGATTATTCCTTAATCCATCTAGCAACATAAACTTTCCTATATAATCATTTTGAGAATTTTTTTATTTTTACTTGTTAAAAAAGGGAGGGGTCCTTTGAAATGCATCCTATTGTAAAATACATTTAGGACTATTAGCTCTTTTCTAAGTTGGTTAGTAGAGGTAGGTAGGTTAGTCAAGCTGTGTGGGAAAACAGTCAGTGGAGGCATTTCTGGAAGCAGGAAAGTGGAAGGCAGGTTTCCTTGATTCCGGGCTTGTTCTGGCCCCATATCTACAATAAGATAGATGCCTGCCTGGGAGATTCCTGGGCTAGGCGCTGCCTGGAGATCCCAGCTGCGGGACTAGTCGAGCCCGGGCATCTTCACACCAAAACAAAGAGTGGCCACCAGGTGGTGCCAGACTACAACCAGAGCGCCTTCCGAACCCGCGTTTGCCCAAGCAGTTGTAGGAGCTCGCTGCTTTTATTTTAACTTCACAGTAATGCAGCCCAAATTTAGGTGCCTGAATCTTTTTGGATCAGTTTCTTCGTTATTTCATATTTGAACTATAGTTAGAACTTGTGTACCTCTAGGCCTTCCAAAGGGTAAAAATTCAAATTGTAAATTCTTTCTTTTGAAATCTTAAAAATTTTGAGCACTCCTTGTTATATAGAACATAAAACTCATAGCAGTTTTCTGTGTTTGTGTGTGTAATTTAATCCATTACTTTTAATTTAGATATATAATTGTGTCCGTTGTATTTTATCATAGCGTGCTATTAATATAGGCATTAAAATGGAGGAACTACTTACCCTTGCATATTTGTACTTAGTCCCTTATCTGTCTCTCCAATAAACATTTTTAGAAGAATGTAAAATGGCGAGATTAGAGAATTGTTTTGCCTTTAGTTTGCTTTCTCTACATTGGAGGTTATTAAAGAAGGCCTTTTATTTTCTCTTCTTGAATGAGGAAAAGGCAGGTGGAACTAATAACCATCTAATCTTAGAACCTGTCCTTGTGTTCATTTCAGTACTTTTTGAAGTTAAGGGGTTGAGAAGACAGGAAGCGTGTAGAAGACAGATTTAAGAAAGAGATAAGTAGTCAGGCATGGTGGCGCATGTCTGTAATCGAAGCACTCTGGGAGGATACGGCAGAAGGATGGTAAATTCAAGCTCAGCCTAGGCAATTTAGCAAGATTTCAAAATTTTCAAGGGGGCTTGGGATGTAGCTCCGTGTAAGCCCCCTCGTTTGTGGGATTTGGGGGAGGTGGGAAACTTGACTATTT